ATGGGGAGGGCAAGTAGGGTTACATAACAATGCATGCATAAATGTTTGTATGAGAGACTAACTTGAATTGTAAACTTTCACTTAAAGTACAATAAAAAAATTTTTTAAAATAGTGCTTTGAATCAGTCTTATTCGATCCAATGAGCTTTAAATCTACTTACTGTATATTAAAAGTTGAAAAGGTAGCCACTAGTTTAAAATTTCACATCTGGGACATTATGCAGCAAAATTATCATACAAAAATATGTAAATAATTACGCAGCAATTTAAAATACTTAAATCTTTTCAGAATTAAAAAATACGTCAGAGTAAATATCTATGGTTTGTTCCTTTCAAAGGGCATAAAAATCCTATTAAAAGGAAAATCCTAGCCTACCAAAAATGATTGAATAAAAGGATAAGTAAATTATTCCAGATTAGGGTAATAAAAAATAATATGGAAAAGAACAACCATGAGTCTTGGCTACACTGTATACTCTGTATCACTGCTAGCACAATTTAGAGTCCCTTTCATCTGACCTATCACCTACAAGGAAACTGAGGAAATTCATTGTAAATTATTTCTTTTGGAAATAAAAAAGAGAAAACGATACGGTTCTGTGATTTAAGGCCTGAAAAATTACAAAAGACAAGAGATGAAAGACTTAACTTTCTCCAGAGAAGTTTCTTTCAAAGGGCAAACAATTCTCAAATCAAAATGATTATAATAAATAAGTTGCTCTTTTGATTTGAAAAATAGTCTATGGTAAGTTTTATTAACTAATCCTTTAAGCCAACATTACTGTGACATGTCTTTCAGGAAGTAAAATAAGTTACTTTAAATATTTTACTCTTGAAAATGAACTTATGATACAGAGGTAAAAGGACTTTCCCAAAGTCATTTTAAAAGAAGTTAATAACAGAACTGAGGAATAAAATCCTGAAATCTTTGGACCCAGTACATAACGTAGCCATTGAGTACAACTGTCTCTCAAGGCATTTTTACTGTTTTATAAAAAGATTATTTTTGAAAACCAGAAATGAGAGATTTTGGTGAACTGATAATTTGTATATTCAATTTTAGTGAAAAATTTTAATTTCTTAAAAATCACATTAACTGCATAAAAAAAATCAAAGCAGACTTTTTCCAAATAAATAATGCATGATCAGTAGCAGTCTGCTTTTTTCATATGGACAGTATTCAGAATATACAAAAGTAATGTTTTGCTCATGGTGAAAACATAAATAGCAGAAAAATTCAACTTAATATCAGCAAAATTCTTCAAGATATATATATATATTTTATATATATACACACACACACATACACAAGGATCAAATATCCAAATTATTTCTCTCTTTTCTAATTATATTTCAGAAAACATTTGTACAGTAAATTGTCACTTGACGGAGTATACTAGTTATAATGATTAAACAGAGGCTCTATTTAAATAATTATAGTTAATATATACAGAAGCATCGGAAGTAATCAAAAGCCATATGCTTTCTAGTAGTTAACCATGTATACCTTTTCTTTCCTAAGGCAAGGAGTTTCTTACCATGACAACCCAGTATACCAATGAAACTTTATTTATAAAGTGTTATTATTTTATTTAAGGAGACTTGGTGGCATAGTGGTTAAAGCGCTCAGCTACTAACCAAAAGGTCAGTTCAAACCAACCAGCCGCTCCAGGGGAGAAAGATGTGGCAGTCTGCTTCTGTAAAGACTTATAGCACTGGAAACCCTACGGGGCAGTTCTACTCTGTCCTATAGGGTCGCTATGAGTCAGAATAGACTCGACAGCAATGCGTAATGAGCAGGGCTTTGAATTGGTTCGCTCTGATTCAAACAGCTGCTGAGAATTTGCATTTCCACCCCAAATATACTGAATCAGAATCTACAGTTTAACAAGATCTCCAGGTGATTCTTATGTATAGAAAATTTTGAGAACCACCACTCTACCAGTGGTTCTCAGAATTGGTCCCTAACCAGCAGCATTAGCATCACCTGGGAACTTGTTAGAAATGCAAATTCTCAGCAAGGGTTTGAGCTGCAACCAACCAGTTTGAAACCCTGGTAATGGGCACAGAAAACACAACACATCTGTCAGTTTGTTGTACTGTGGTGGCTTGTGTGTTGCTATGATGCTGTAAGCTATGCCACTGGTATTTCACATTCTAGTAAGGTCACCCATGGTGGACAGATTGCAGCTGAACTTCTAGACTAAGACAGACTAGGAAAAAAGGCTTGGTGATGTACTTTTGAAAATGAAAACAACAGAATACCGTCCTGTAGTATAGTGCTGGAAGATGAGCCACTACACAATAGCTACAGCATTACCAATAATAGACTCCAACATACCAATAATCATGGTGCAGGACCAGGCAACTTCTTGTTCTATTATACACAAGCTCACCATGAGTCAGACCGATTCGATGGCAACTAACAACAACACAGAACACTAAACTACATACAAGCTGCATTATCATCTCATTTCATGGAATACTGTCATGTTTTCCCACCATGTTTTTAAAGTCTGGGTTACAACCATCAGTGAGTTGTGAAATCAGCTTAGTGGGTTGCAATCTGCATTTAAAAAAAGAAATAGGATAAAATAGACTCTATCAGAGGGTATTACAGGTAGTAAGTATTGTTTTGAAAAATTTTTGTTTTACATATATACATATAAAAACATCTGTGTGTGCAGTGGGTCATAATAGGAAAGGTATTTCTCAACGTGGGTTGTGGTCAAGAAAAGCTACTATAGTATGCTATATTTCCTTCCAAAAGGAAGCATGTTGTTCTGGAAAGAATGTCAGCTTTGGAGACATATAAACCTGAGTTCAAATTCTTGCTCTACCACTCTAACTATGTGAGTCGGTTACTTAAATTTTTAGAGCCTTGATTTCTTCATCTCTAAAATGGTTTTAATAATATCTGCTTTAAAATGTTGCTGTGCAGGTTAAAATAAGTAAGATAAATATTTGTAAATAGGTTTTACAAATAGATGATCAATAACGGTAGCAATTATAATTACTATTATTGGATTAAAGTAGCTTATTGCAAGTGATCATTAAGTTTTATAACATAGTGGTCACAACTGTATTCTTTCATTTAAAAAATAATACGTGAACAAATCACCCAATCTGAAAGTAACAACAACAACAACAAAAACCAAACCCTTTGCCGTCCAGTTTATTCTGACTCACAGCAATCCTACAGGACAGAGTAGAACTGCCCCATAGGGTTTCCAAGGCTGTAATCTTTAGGGAAGCAGACTGCCACATCTTTCTCCCGCTGAGCCACTCATGGGTTTAAACCGTTGACCCTTCAGTTAGCAGCTGAGTGCTTAACCACTGAGCCACCAGGACTTCTCAATCTGAAAATAGCTTATGTTAATTAAAAGAATTTTAGAAGAAGAAATTAAATCAATAATATAAAGGAAAATAATCAATTGTCTAAAAGGCAAATAAGATTATATCTACAGCCATCCCTTGGTATCCTGGGGGGCAGGAGGGATTGGTTCCAGGACCCCAGGGGATAATAAAATCCGTGGATGCTCAAGTTCCTTATATAAAATGGCATAGTATTTTTTTTTTTTTTAACATAGCACAATAATGAACAGCCTTTCGCTTTGAAGTGGAATAGTGACGGTGAGCCAGGTGAGGGAAGACGCTGAGGCGTCAGATCAAAGCACAATTTTAAGGACAGCCACATCCAGCCTTCTGGCTGAAAGGTTCCTACCCAAGGTTCCTTCCAGTAGGAGGTCCTGGGTGACTCTGGACATCCCATCTGCATAGTGCACAATGCTAGGTCCCAGGCCTGCCAACTTTGTTCTCTCCTTCCCAACCCAAGACCTCTGCCGCAAGCATGGTCCTCAGGTCTTTGGTCACGACAAGAAGCACCCAGTGTAAGCTTGCAACCCCATTCTTAGTGTCCTCACTTGTCCAAATTGTGCTGGGGTGTGGCTGCCCCATCCCCCTGGGAGCTACCTCCTTTACAGCCACATACTGTTCCTCCACTGCACCCTGTCTTGCCTTGTGCTGCCCTCTGCCTTGCCCCCAGGCCCTTGAGCTCCTTCCTTCTTTTTTTTCCAAATATTTTCCATCTACAGTTGGTTGAATCCATGGATGCTGAACCTTTGGATACGGAGGGCTGACTGTATTCACTGGACTAGTTTAACGCAAAATTTCAAGTCATCCTAAATTAAAACATTACACCTCTAGGAATGATATGAAGGGGAAAATATTCTTTACACTTTCTGGCAAGACTTTAAAAATCTGACACCAGTAATGAAGCTGACTATCTGCTGTGATTGTAGAACAATGCTAGCACATCCGGTTTTTTTTTTTTTCCTTAAATAATTTACTTGAATGCTTTGTAGGGAGGAAAAGTCTTTAATTTAATCAAAGCAGCAAGACTTTTTAAACAGTTGTTTTTAAGTGTCATCAAGTCGATTCCGACCCAGGGTGACTACATGTGTTACAGATTAGAACTGCCCCATAGGATTTTCTTGGCTGTAATCTTTATGGAAGTAGATTGCCAGGTCTTTCTCCTGTGGAGCTGCTGGGTGGGTTTGCTCTCCTGAGTGCTTAATTGTTGCTCTACCAGGGCTCCTTTTTAAACAATAATGTCTGAATAATTGTTAAAATATATGTCGTGTGTTCTCATCTTCTATTATATTTTACCGACATTGGATAGTACTCAGGAAACAATCTGTGTTTGTTAATTTGGCAAACGTATTTTCTGTTTCAATAGACAGACTGCATTTTCCAAATGATGAAGCATATTTTTTCAGATTTGTGAGCTTCATTTTTTTTACATAGAAAATGCGATTTCATAAATTAATTTAAAATCAATACACCTGTTCTTGAAAAGATTTAAGGTTTTTTTTCTTTTTTTTCTTAATGAAAAAGATAGAGAAATGAGGAATAAAGACAATTCTGGCTTTTCAAAAACAAGGGAAATTAAATTTTCCTCCAAACACCATACGTTAGATTTTTCTTGAAAAATTGTTTACCTGCCAGGAAAGGAATGCTGCCCCACTACGTCTCCATTTTGAATGTGAAAATCATTGAAGAAATCTGGACTCATGGCTCCTTCAGAGGCAATTAATCCATCTAGGAAGAAGGAAAATGTTAAACTGTGAAACAAATTTGTAGGGAATAGAAAGGAAACCACCCTTTATAATAGAAAATAACCTGGATATTTAATTGGGAAAGAACAATGTTAGCACGCCATAATATTCTCTCTGGGAGTCTGAACAGAAGACCATATGTACTTCAGTGTTTTGTTGCATATCAGTTCAGCATAACAATTCAACATTTACTGGCCATCTACTATGTGCTAGGTACTATGCTAGGTACAGAGATGAGTAAGATAGTTTCTGCCTTCAAGGAGCTTACCGTCTTGTGGAGAAAAAAGACACAAAGACAAGGGGGTGAGGTGAGGTAGGGAGGAACAGTAAGAATGGTCCACACTAAGAAAGCAGCAAGAGTAAAGGCAAAGAGGCATTAAATAGTATGCTGTTGGTAAAGAACAAAACTAGTATGTCCTGCATGTTCTACTTAGACATCTTCATTTGTACACCATGATTAGAGAATTAGTTATTTCAAATAAGTAAATTTCTAAATAAGCAATGCTCGATACTTTAAGTGCTAGACCTTAAAACACAAACACAAACTGAGGTTAGGAATCTTTGTAAACATATTTTATACTCTACTCCCTAGGAGCCCTGGTGGCACAGTGGTTAAGAGCTACAGCCGCTAACCAAAAGGTCAGCAGTTCGAATCCACCAGCTGCTCCTTGGAAATCCTATGGGGCAATTCTACTCTGTCCTATAGGGTTGCTATGAGTCAGCATCGACTCCACAGCAATGGGTTAGTTTTTGTGTTAAGCCCTGGGTGTCACAATGGTTAAGCACTTGGCTGCTAACCAAAAGGCTGGTGATTGGAACCCACCCAAGAGCTCCTTGGGAGAAAAGGCCTGGTGATCTGCTTCTGTAAATATTATAGCCTAGGAAACCCTAGGGGCAGTTCTACTCTGTCATATAGGGTCACTATATGTCGGAATCCACTTCACTGCACACAACAATGTTCTTAAAAACTATACTAAACATAGTTTAAATATTTATTCCATGACTGATCTTCATTATAAACATCAATTACCATATAATCATACCCTAGGGTTATTAGATATATTACCTATGCCAAATGGTATTACTACTAAGCTTTTTGAGTTATTTTGTTGTGCTTATAAAGTATTTCTTTTCCTAATTATAAATCTTGTTATCATTTATAACTGATTTTAGAGTGTGTGATACAAAGAACTCAATTTGACATTTCTCTTTGGTTCCTGAAAGACAGCTCTTAAAATTCTCCAGCAATTGAGCTTTTTCTTCTAGAACAGCCAGGCATCACTTAAATGTGTGCAAATGAGTGAAGGCCACAAAGATCACATCTGGTCAGCTAACCTCAGGAAGAGAGGGGGGCATGATTTAGTCAATCATGCATATTTAATGATTCAATCAATCATGACTAGACAACAAAGCCAATAAAAAGCCCTGAACATGGAACCTCTTGGGGCTTCCTGGATTGGGGAGAAAATCTGCTCGAGAGGGTGGCACATCCCTGGGGACAATGAAAACCTCGCACCAGGGCCCCTCCCAAACTCCACCCTGTGCATCTCTTCATTTGTATCCTTTCTGGTTATAATAAATAGGTAATCGTAAGTATAGATAACTTTCTGTGAATTCTATAAGACGTTCCAATGAATTATAGAACCCACAGGGCAGAGGGAGACAGCAGGTCAGAAGTTAGGGCGCCAGGAACCACCAAACTTGTGGGTGGTATCCTGAGGGGGTGAGAGGAAAACTCCAGGTTTGGGGCCGGTTGGTCTGAAGTGCAGGGAGTTGTGTGGATCCCTGTACTTGTGGCTGGCACTCACTGATCCAGGCCTGGCTGGCAGAGGATGAGAGAGTGCCACCTAGAGTGGCTGGCAACTAAAATAGAGAAGTGGGGAGGTGAGGACTGGATCCATTTCCAGGTGGGAACTGGAATCATGCTGGTCTTTACTACAAAGTTAGCATTAAAGGTGGGATTTGCCATCTTGCCTTTAGTTTAGTGCAGGGTAATACTAGTTTCTTTTTTGCTCCAATCTAAGTATCCAGATAACCAGTTTTTGATAGAAATTATGTGTAAATTAAGGATTAAAAGCATCTAAAGAAAAAATCTCTAAGTGATGGTTTCAGGGGGCTATCCTATGCAAAAAGCAAATACATTTTTAGTATATGGCTTTTGTAATAACTATTTGGACAGGGTTGAGGCCTTTTAAATCTCCTTTTCTGAAAGTGTGCTAGAATGTTGAATGACCTCAAGATAAATGCTGGCTAGGTCACACTCCCCACATTGTTTGTAAACCTGGCATACAGTGGGCACATTGTTCAGTCACCAAATGACCATTCTGCACCTACCACATGCATACTAATATTGTGTTAGGTTCTGTGGGAAGTAAAGAATTACAAGACATAATCTTATTTCAAGAATTTTAAGTGAAAGACGATAAGACCCCTAAGATAAATAGTACAATTCATTAATAAATGATGCAACAGAAATGGAATGAGAAGTGGAGGCAGTAAAAGCTATAGAGGGATTACTGTGCTCTGCAGATGTTAAAAAATCTGTACTTGGGGTGGGGGAGGGGAGGCAGAGGTATGACCTGATTTGAGTCTTAAAAGATACGTAACACTCAAATCATGAATCTGACTGGGGAGTAAGGGTATTAAAGCTTGAGTGAATGGTAAAACTAAGTAATAGAATTGGCAAATGAAAGTGAGGTGATCTGCATTTCCATAAGACTGCCTGCACTACTCATTTGTTACATGTATACATTATTACATATCATATATTAATGACTTGTATCCTTTACTTGTTACTGTTAATGAACACTATAAAGTATTCATTATTTATTAAATTTAAAAATACTTGAGAGATACCTTAAAAGTGTCATTATTATATAGTACAGTTTTTATGTCCTCTAAAAATTAAAGATTCTATAAATCAAAAAACCAGCTAAACACAGAAAAGTTACAAAAAATGAAATGGTGGGAACTGTCAAAATACCATAGATTGAGAATTAAGAAACTTTGAAAAAAAAATCAGTTTTATTTGGATTCAAGATTTTGTGATTGTGTGGCTAAAATTAACAAGGTTAAGACCACAAAAACCAACAAATTCTGTTAAATTAAAACCAAATAACTGGGGATCAGGATTTAAGAAACCTGCCAATTTTAGAGAAACAAACAAAAAAATAAACAAATCCCACTGCCCTCAAAGCTAAGTAAAATGCCAAAATAAAATGTATACCACTTTGGAAATAAATGCAGAAGTATTCAACATGCCAGTAGAATGAAAGATTTTAACACTCAGAAATATTTCAGATATAAATACAACCAAATTAAAAGATACTAGAGTTACGTTAAAAAAGTCACATTACATGAAACATGACCTACTGAAGTGAACTAGATTAGGAAGAAATAAAATGAAAACCTGTGATCAAATTCACAACATTTTTTCAACGAACTTCCAGTGTCTTCAAAGGGAACAATGAGTAGCAAAAGGATCTATGATGTACCAGGAACTACAAACTGGGAGCTCATCAATAGAAATCAAACTAAAACTTCCGGAGTTTAAAGATACAGCCAGAAATTTTATAAACCCAGAATACAACTAGTTTAATAATATGATAAAAATATAAATTATTTATACTTTTGAAGTTCATATTTAATCATCCCAGGGCACTGTAGTTCATTCAGTAAAGTACAGCTTCTAGAGTAGAGCTCTAAACAAAAAAAAAAACAAAAAAAAAACCTAAATCTGTTGCCGTCCAGTTGATTCCAACTCATAGAGATCCTATAGGACAGAGTAGAACTGCCCCACAGGGTTTCCAAGGAGTGGCTGGTGGATTTGAACTGCTGACCTTTTGGGTAGCAGCCGAGCTCTTAACCACTGCGCTACAGTACCATTTAACGGCCTGACAAAAGTTAGGCAGCTCTGACGTTATGAGCAAGCAATCTTTCTCCACTAAAATGAGGTTTAAGAATTCCATTAAAGCCTCATTTCAAGTACTTCAACTTGTTTAGAAATATTCATTTGCTTCTCAGTATTTTGCATCCAAAATCCATTCTTTTACAGAAACAGTAAAATAAGAAGAATCACATATTCTAGATTACAGAGCCCAGATAAATCCAGGAGTAACCCTCTCAAGCTACTACTCTAAGCTGTTGTTTCAAAGATAGCAACAAGGAACCAAACAATTTCATGCAACATGTATACAGGACAGAGAAGAAACAGAAGACAGAGATGATATATACCAGAGCACTTTGTAAGCTGTAGAGCATTATATACATTTAGGTTATTAAATTATATGAAACATTTTAGACCATAGTAATAGAATACATCTTTCTGACACACTCCAAGTAATAGTGATAAAGATGTTTAGGAACAAAATGGGCTATATACTGAAACAGGAATGAAACCAAAGCAAACTTAATTGTCATTATAGGTAATTTATCAACTTTCTGATTTCTGAAAACCAGTTAAAAATTGGTTTACAAATGCTGTTAATAAAAGTCAACAATACAAAAACTTAATATTTTCTTATATATTGTTACTGAAGTATATTTTATTTTTATTTCTTAAAGTCAGAACAAAACACAATATTGGGCTCTTTGATGAACTAGCTAAAAGTGAAATTGTGACCGTGTGGGAGAAAACAGATGTCAATAATGTAGAAAATGAGAAAAAGAAATGATTAAAATGATAAATTATAATTTGACTATATCTGATAAAACTCAGCACAGAAACACACAAGCAAGTGAAAACTATGATTTTACAATGATTCTGAGACAGAAATTATTTTTAGCTTCATATTCCAGGATTATATTCACAGATCAAGAATAAGATTAACCACAATTGATGACGAACAATAAGAAAAGTTGAGTCATTTAGAACTAGCAATATAGCTTTATAAATTATGCTTCCTCTATGGGTAACAGTAGAGTCCCTAGGTGATGCAAAGGTTAACACGATCAGCTGCTAACCAAAAGGTTGGAGGTTTCAGTCCACCCAGAGGTACTTGGAAGAAAGGCCATTGAAAACTCTATGGAGTACAGTTCTACTCTGACACACATGGGGTTGCCATGAGTTGGAATCCATTTGATGGCAACTGGCTACCGGTTATCAGCAAGAGTACTAAAACAAAGAGCTTTATTTTCATGATAGAAAAGGAAATTAATCAGTGACTACAATCACAACAATTTTAGACTCTAAGAAATTAACGTAACTAAAGAAGATGCTAGATTCTTATTTCATATGACCATATTAATAGTCATTAAGCAAAAAAAGCAAGAGAGAAATATACATTCTGATATTTTAATAGTTTGAAAATGATTCTAATGACTAGCAAGTATCAAATGGTATTGCATTTTAAAGTTAAAGACCCAGGGAATGATGGGCCACTTAGTTTTACCTCCGTGCTGAGCAGCTACGAAAGTTGCTTTTATCAGAAGCAGCCTAAAGTTTCATAAGAATACTTAAATGACTCCAGCATTCAAACACATATTCAGTATTACAAATTGATCTTTCTGAAGATACAAATGCACACAATAAAAGAAGCTGACATTATCTAGATTCCATGGGATATATCATGAGATGTTACAGAGATTCATTTAGTAGATTAAATGAATTATTATTAATAGTAATATAATTCATAAAATAAAAAAAACTATGGAAAATATATCCTTAAACTCATAGTATGTAATTTCCACTGTCAAATGTCTATTGCAACATTAGGCTAAAGGTATAAAAAATCAATAAAACATGAAAATATCTAATGATAATATTTCACCCAGCCAAATGCTTACAGTTATTATTCTTCCATCAAACATAGATGTTTCTAAATTTTGGTATATAAAAACATACATAATTTTTCCACAAAAGCATTTTAGTTATACATTTTAATTATAAAATATCTCACAGAAAAATATTTGATTTTCATTTTAAGAGGTTAATTTTATCAGAATTGACTTTGGAAATGTGGTATAACTTTTAGAAATCTGTTCTAAAATTCTAATTGTAGTAAAACAACAAAGTTGAATAGTGAGGTGGTTAATCGTTTACTTGGTTATGAAACTAATGATTGAGTTACACGGAAAGGTAGCTATCAATCTTCAAAGCAGGAAACATGATTCCAACAATATTCTGATTCCTATTAACAAAATAATTCATATCATATATATTGTACACCATTTTACCTCAAGAATATCTGAATATGTAAGGAACAGCTGCTTGCCATTACTCAACTAAAACATTCTGGTTGGTTGAAATTAATGATCTACACCATCTGGTTTGAAACACAAAGCAGTATTTCATAACTACTGGAAAGCTCAGTTAGGAAGAAATCTATTTAATTTAAAAAATATAGTAGCGATTTTCCATGATTCAAGTACCTATATCAAATATAAAAACATATTTCCTACTAGCTTAAAAAAAATAGATAGTGTTTATGGGCAATATTTATACAATCCACAGTTATGAAAACACATTAATGAATACATAGTAGGAAAAAGGCATAAGGTGAGATTAATAATATATGATAATTAACACTTTCTATTTCAAAACTGCTATAGATTTTAATTAGAAATTCTTTCCTTTCCTTAATTAAATGACTTCAATAAAGTAATGATAGTATTGGCAAAAGTGAAACATATTAAAAGCAGAATATGCAAAAATCTGCCAATCTTTGTGCCAAACTAATCTGTGAAAAAAGGCAGTATGGCAGAATAAATAAGGTTGTATATGTAAAAATTAACTTCTACCTTGAAAACACTGGCAGAGTTTACAAAGAAAAAACTGTTGATATGAAGTGTCTAAATCTTTCCAACAGTCATCATATAGAGTTTAGTAGCAAAATCATGACAAAATTAAACTGTTAAGATAGTAGAAAACATAAATAGGTTATAAATTTAATAAATGAAGAATAGAAAAAAATATTACATTTTCTAATAGAAGTCAAAATGTTGAAGATGTCAGTTTAAGTTATATGTTCTGGAAAGTAATAAACTTCTAAGAGCAATTAATTTTCCTGGCTATAACCTTTTTTATAGATTCTATCAAAGACTAAACTGGAAAAAAAATAATGGTGAGTTAATAGGTTTGCTTGGTGTGTATAGGTGTTACATCTGAAATCATTATCAGACGACCATTTATTTACTAAAAGAAGCTCTTACAAAGCTTAGGAATGAGCAAAATTGGCAGACCAAAATCCCTATTTATAGCACACAAATTATTGATTTTTGCTTTGGTTATCATCTTACCTGAGTTGTAGAAAAGGTCAGGTCTTTCAAGGATATCTCCTTCATGTATATATGGCTCAATTTGATCGTCACCATATAAGTACTGCTCACTGTCATCCATCTGACGACTCTCTACCATCTCCAGCCACTGAGAGTTATGCCAGCGAAACTTTTCACTCTGAATTTTCTTAGCCCATTCTTCATCATATTCCTATTGAAAACAAATAGTGAACTGTTATATGAGCTTTACTAAAGAACTTCCTTGTCACTTGGATAGCAGTACTTTCATCTCATGAGAAGAGAATTTTAAGGACCTTCCTTTGGGTCGGGGGAACATTAAAATATTTGTTGAGGATTATCTCATAAAATAATCAATAAAAAGCAATGAACAACCTGTGATATGCAGATGACACAATCTTGCTTGCTGAAAGTGAAGAGGACTTGAAACACTTACTGACAAAAATCAAAGATCACAGCTTTCAGTATGGATTACCTCAACATAAAGAAAACAAAAATCCTCACAACTGGACCAGTAAGCAACATTATGATAAATGGAGAAAAGATTGAAGTAGTCATGGATTTCATTTTACTTGGATCCACAATCAACACCCATGGAAGCAAAAGTCAAGAAATCAAATGACACAGTGCACTGAGCAAATCTGCTGCAAAAGACCTCTTTAAAGTATTAAAAAGCAAAAATGTCACTTTAAGGACTAAGGTGCACCTGAACCAAGCCGGGGTGTTTTCAATCACCTCATATGCGAGCGAAAGCTGGACAATGAATAAGGAAGACCAAAGAAGAACTGATGGCTTCGAATTGTGGTGTTGGTAAAGAATGTTGAATATAACAGGGACTGCCAAAAGAACTAACAAATCTCTCTTGGAAGAAGTATAGCCAGAAAGCTCTTCAGAAGCGAGGATGGAGAGACTTTGTCTCACATACTTTGGACACGTTATCAGGAAGGACCAGTCCCTGGAGAAGGACATCATGCTTGGTAAAGTAGAGGGTAAGCGAAAAAGATGAAGACCCTCAGTGAGATGGAAGGACATAGTGGCTGCAACAATGGGCTCAAGCATAAATAACGATCATGAGGACAGTGCAGGACCTGGCAGTGTTTTTGTTCTGTTGTACACAGGGTCACTATGAGTCAGAACTGACTCGATGGCACCTAACAATGGCATTCTTTATAAGTCTCTGTCTGGGTTACCAATCACTAATGACAATAGCAAACACTGGAAAAAGTTAAAATTTCACAAATTCTTTATTTAAATACTGCCAAAATTTATGTAATTTTGTAAAAATTTATGTAAACATTTGTGTAAGCCATCAGACTTTCAAAGAGTTCTTATGGTTATAATTATTTGTGGCACTAACGACAGGTGGATATCATTAAAATTACATCTTTTGCTATATCTTTTTGTTTAGATAACATTTTTCAGTAGGAAAAAATACTAAAAGTATTTCTCTTAACTACTTAAATGGATTACACTGAAAACAAATAGTAGAATTGTGGTTATTTTTGTTCTAACTACAAAATAATGATGTTACCTTATTTAGGTGCAATTATTTTTTTAATGTTTATATTCTGCTTGGACCATGAAGTCTTGAGGAGAAAGAATGTGGCTTATTCATTGATGTATCCCTAACACCTGTCACAGAGGAAGTTCTTGGTGCCTGTTTTTTGAATGACAAATAGGCACATTAATATAAGCTGCAGTTGAACCTATCTCCCTATATGTCCCATAGGTTGTGGCTATTTCTGACTGTTGTATTCACTTAAGGGAGCCCTGGTGGCACAGTGGTTAAGAGTTATGGCTGCTAATCAAAAAGCCGGCAGTTCAAATCCACCAGCTGCTCCTTGGAAACCCTATGGGGCAGTTCTACTCTGTCCTATAGGGTTGCTATGAGTATTCACTTAACAATTAATGGACAGTGGAAGCAATGACAAAGATGGAAAAAGAAATGGATTCAGGTTATTTGTCATCCTATCCTCAGGGTTCTTTAAATTCTTCTGTCATATCCACCCAGAGATGCCTCTGAAGACAGTCCTGTAGCTCTACTTCCAAAAAACCCAGTCACCGAAAACCCTGTATGGCACAGTTCTACTCTGACACACTAGTTAGAATCTACTCCACGGCAACTGGTTAACAACGAGTTGGAGGGGTACTGGGCAACAGCACTGCCCTCCAGTGGACAAGATGATCATGATAATTAAGAGGTGAATCAAATAAGTATTTTAGTCAAATGCTGAGCACTTTCAGTCAAAGCTGAGAATCAATTAAAAAAAATCACACAATGAATCTTTGGTATGCAAGAAAAAATATAAAATTTTATAATAAATTGAATTATTATTATAATTTTGTTGTTAAAAGTCTACTTGCTAAATTTTAAAAGCTTCACATTACCAATAAATTTCTTAGCAGTGTCTTCTATCAGATTGTGGCCTCTATACTGTTTGTGAAAATATACAGATTCTCCCTTTCAACTTAGGTTAGCAGAGGTAGAAAATATTTTTTGACTATGGTATTGCCAATGACAATTTTGTCACCAAATTATTAAAAACTTTCCTCTTTTCTAACAGTTATCTATTAATATTCCTATTAGTTGTCAATTTATTTCCTAATATTATTTAAAATTAAATTGTTTTTAAAAAACTAAGCACTATCATGAACATTATTATTGCATTACAAATAATAAACATTTATTATTCAACTGATAGAATTTCAATATTTAAACCACTGAAGGAACCTGTTTACTCCCAGTTACATCTACAATGTTATCTTTGAAATATATAAACAATAAATCCAAATGCCATACCTTGCTGACAATATTTCCATGGTTAAAGTGGTTAGATATGATGGTAATTTATACAATCCTCCAATCATTAATCTCATTTAACATGTTATAATAAAATGAGATAATACACATAAAGCACTTAGAAAAACTATATTGAGAACACTTAATAAATGTTACTGTTAATTAATTCAAGTAATAGCTCTCTGAGTTAGCTACTATACATATCACCATTTTAAAAATGAGAAAATGACATCCACAAAATTGAAGCAACTTGATCCAAGGTACACAGCTGGTTGTGGCTATTACAACTCTGAAAACTCTGAACAAGCAATGTGGAAGATGCAGTTAAACAGGATAAACGAATATTGTCAGGGTCACCAAAGAATGGATTCTTCACTGGATGAGAATATAGTAAGTGACTTCCAAGGTCAACTCTCAGCTCTAAAATTCTGTGAATGGGTTGAATTGTTGATCAAGCAGTGATATGGGAGTATCTTCTGGTCTGATAAGTATAACATATTCTATTTTCAATTATGTTCTCTCTGACTTGGCCACACTTGGGAGAGTACTGGGGAAAGAGGGTGCTGGATAATAAGCATAAAGATGTTGTTAGAAGTAGTTTTGTTGGCTATAGATTTCACAGGTTCACTTTGGGTTTCCAAAATTCAGTAACATACTGAGTGTTGCCTATTCATGTAATGCAGGCACTGTGATTAACTTCAAAGTAATTTAGCCTAAATACTAAAAATAATCCTGACTTCTTTAAATTAACATGATTTCACAATTATACTTTTTGGTACCATATACGGCACACTGTAGGTGAATTAAAATTAACTGTATAAAGATGTTATTCCCATATAAGAAGTGGCCAGATAATTTAAAAAGAACTGATCACATAAACTTATAGTAAAAGGATAGACTTATTATCCACTGAGATAAAAAAACTAATGCATAAACAAAAAGCAAAATAGTACTTTGGGCAAGAAATTCTCCATACCAATTGACTTTTTTTTACTAAAATACGTTAGTCATTTGTCATTGTCACCAAAACTCTCAGAAGAATATGCCTTATAATACAAGAAATCCTATAAAATCTACATTAAATACTGGAACTAATTTGAGTGTTTTTGTTTCCTTTAAAAAATAGTAGCTTGTTTCACATGATTAAGAGGCATAAAACTAATGTTTCATTTTGGTAGAAAAATTGAAAATCTGATTATCTGAATGAAGAGGTAGTCAAGAAAGATGACATAAAAACATATGATATGCTTGTTTTATTATAATTTAAGTGTCCAAAGTATATGGATTCCTAATGGAAGAATAGGAGTTAAACTTCAGTCAAGTACCTGAAGCATGTAAAATATGGAGTTTGCTATTCCTCTAAGAGTAAAATTTGCCACTTACTAATAACTGTGAGATGTTACAGAGCTAGGTTTAAAAAAAAAAAAATCCTTAAAAGATATCCATAAAATGTATTTAGCCCAGTTAAGTAATGCTCTGCACAAAGAAAAAAATTCCTGCTTACTCAAGGAGTTATCACCTTAAACCCTCTTGTAAGATTTTATTATCCTACTGTAACTATAACAAAAATACCCCTAATAAATGAAGAAATGTGTAACAAAGAAGCTGTTATCTTCAGAAACTATAGCTCTTCCAAGTTCAGCCTTCTTATCAACATATGAGCTCACAGCAATGTTCTTACTAATAAACCTATACCTACAAGCCTGAGTTTTTTCCAAGACACTATCCACTCCATTTGACATTAGTCCAAATACACAAACCAAAAATATCCATGAACATACATGGCTAACTTTAGATAGTTCAGCCTTGACTTGTTAAAGTGTTTTGGGAAAGCTGATTTCCCAAGGCAGTGAGGTAGCAGACTCTAGCATCAAATGTAAGAATACCCGTAGCTTAATGTGAATTCTTTAAGATTTTTACCCTCCCTCTTTTATCGTTTCATGACTGAATTAACCCGTAGAACCAGTGCATCCTTAACATCAGAAGCTCAAAAAGTATCATAGCAATGATACAGACTGTACTGTTATTTTCTTTTTTAAAAATAACTGCATTCTGATTTTTAAGTATTTTTGGACTATAAAACAATAACTTTAATATATACAACGAACATAATCATTAATATATGGCTATTTTTTACAGGATTACAATGAAAACACTGAAGTTGATTTCTCAGCTCTCTGGAAAAAGACAAAACAGCTTATCCCTCAGGAAATACAAGACAAAACATATATATTATTCTATACCAAACTGAGTAAGCATTTAGGATATAGAAAATTAGGCTTTGAAAAATATCCAACAATGATTACTGAATCCTACTACGATGACAAACAGAAATTTCACAAGAGGTAGCCTTGTGATTTAATATGTGTGGCTTTGATATACAGTAATCCCCA